GGCAATCACGAGATCGCTGGTTCGAGTCCGTCGCGTGACATTTTTTTTTTCCAAACACACCATATGGTTTTTTATTATTTTTTTCATCCCGAAAATTATGAACAAATGAAATATTATAATAAATACTTATGTATATGAAGGAATATTCTTCAGATATTTCATTAAAATGCACAATTGGTTGATAAACAATATTATGGATTAACAATAAGATTTCATTAAAAAAAAAAAAAAACGAGGTCAGGTAGGATGTTCTTTTATTTTATATTTATGTTAGTATTTGACATTTTACGCAGTGTGGCACGAGCCAGAATGGTAGCTATCATAAGAAAATGGGAAGCAGAAATTTTTTAAGCATCTAGCTTCTTTTTCTTTTTCTGATCTCGAAAATTATGAACAAACGAAATATTATGAGAACTGTATGTAGGAATATTCTTCAAGTGTTTAATTAACATTTTGAGCTAGGTTGTGTGGGTCGTCCACCGTGTTTAAAAAAACCGCTTACAGAACACACCTGCTCGAGTATAAAAAGTTTCGCTAAATTCCACAAAGGGTAGAGAAGCATCGAAACTGTGTGATGAAAGAACAATATTTCAAAATGTTAACAAAATTTGCTTCGACGTCGATATTTTGAAAACAAAATGCGCCTGTAAAAACAACATTTACACGACATGCTAGATGCTTAAAAAATTTCTGTCTCCCATATTTCTATGATAAAATGTCAAATACTAAAAATAAAATAAAAAACCTACCTGACCTCGTTTGTTTTTTTTTTAATGAAATCTTATTGTTAATTCATAATATTGTTTATCAACCAATTGTGCATTTTAATGAAATATTTGAAGAATATTCCTACATATACATAAGTATTTATTATAACATTTCGTTTGTTCACAATTTTCGAGATGAAAAAAATAATAAAAAACCATATGGTGCGTTTTGAAAAAAAAAAAAAGTGTCACGCGACAGACTCGAACCAGCGATCTCGTGACTGTCAGTCCCGAACGCTACCAATTAGGCCACGCTCCCAGTTGTAGAATGTGTCACATCTAGTGGATTTAGCTGTCAGGTAAAACTTCAAAATCGATTATCTCAGTAATTTATAAACGTTGCGTCGAACTACTTCGAAAAATTCTTATTCAAGGTCCAAACTACACGTACCATAAATATAAAAAATTACAAAAATCCGACTAACTTACCTTCTCCTTGTTAGTATAAAGGTAAGTTGTGTTAAATCACCATATTTTGGGTTTCCCTACATGCCCCTCCTCTGTGTCGGTTCTTGTGCGAAACACCCTCTATATTGATATTCCATAATAGACACTTGTGTTCTTTTAACGTCCCGTTCAATATAACCTTTACCATACATGGAAAGCTATAAGACGGAACGGTTTAGTTTAATTAATAGTTCGTCTAAGAAAGGTTACTATGTTCTGTAGGGTATTGTGGATAGCATTAAATCTGTGCTGTCCTCCCTAAAAAGGTGGTCTATTTTATGTGTAAATTCTAATATACTTGTGTAGGGAATATAGGTTGCCATATATTAATTCTTGTTCAACATTTCTGCTAGTCTATTAATTTCCTTTGAGAGCTGATCGTAGATCATCCAAGTACTCTGATTCGCAGATGGTGCGTATTTGATGAACTAAGGTATTAACAATCTCTTGTTTCTGGCCAGGATGGTGTGAAAGACAATAACTTTCTGCGTGGATCGGTTTCTGTAAACATCGTGCCCTAGGGTACAATTTAGTTTCCTCTTGACAAGGACATCTAGGAATGGAAGGGGCATTCTCTTCCAAGTCCAAGGCAAAGCTAATATCTTAATATAATCTATTAACTTGGTATGCTGTTATAATCATGAAGACAGATAACAAATGTATCGTCGACATACTCGAAACAACACTTCTGCTATAGAGTTGCCGACTCAAAAGCTTTTTTGAAAATTTCCATGTAGATACGAGTATTTGCTAGAGCTGAAGGGTGAATCAATGGCCACTCCTTCAGTTTGTTCATTAAATGAACGGTAAAGAAGTTAAAACCATTAACGTAGCCACCAGCATGGAAATTGTTCAAACTACTACAATAATCTGCAAACCAAACTAAATACTTGTTAAATTCGTATTTAAATCTCACCTAACTTACCATCACATGTAAGGGGTTACCCATGTATACTTCTATACCCTTATACATATATTTTTATTTCTGAACTTATAAAAAATTATATCTACCAAAATATTGGCAAATTTTGTTGTAATTTTAAAGCAACACTTAGAAAAATAAATGAGTATTGCATTTTCAGAGATACTTATATTTTTTTATAGAACGCTTTGTATATTCTGATTAGAGTCATTTAAGTTTTGATAGGATACCTCTAGGCATAGATATAGAATGTCACCTATAGAATGTTACATACTTCAAGGGTATAATCTAGAACTCAAATGTTGTCGATTTAACCAAACTTGCTTAAACGAAAAATGTCGAAAAAAAAGGTTACAGGGTGTTAAAGTTTTTTATTTCTTGTTTTCTCCTTAACTCAGAAACCAGTTAACCGATTTGAGCAAAATTTGCTGTTGCTTAGTTTCTCTTCATGAAGTATGCAGTGATTATGTTCCTATCCTATTAGGTTAATCATATAACCATACGTTCATTTTACTTTACGAATTATGAAATGAGAGACGTGATAGTGATCTACAGGAACATTTTAGTGGACGCGCTGCTAAGAGAACATAATATGAAGAATTTTATCCGAATCGCAGAGACCCTTCTCATACATTGTTTTCTTCTTTATATACCAGATTAGCAGAAACTGGAAACTTTCGGTCTAATTCACAAAATGGGAAGTACATTCAATGAACACGAGGAACAAAAAAGGAACAAAAAGGAAAAAAAAGAAAAAATAGAAGAAAATCTCGAAATTAGTATTCGTCGTTTGCCCGCAAAACCGTTTCAAGTATACTCCACACTCAGCAGTTACAAGGTTTCCAATTCTATCATATACAAAATTTTAGCTTAACATTTTGCGAATGATTTTTCCAGTTAAGTACATAAAAGGAATCACAGTTTTCTCGGGAGAATTATTGCCTTTACCTGTAGAGTTGTTTTTAATTGGAAAACTCTCACGTGTGGAACGAAGAAAATTCACATGCAATAAAAGAGTATCACTTCCAACACGAATTTTCAGTTAACGTCTAGTCCGGGATCATAGGCAAATTTTATTTTGGAGCCTATCGCTCTACCTACAAGGTTGAACGATCAAAATTATTTAGAATTCCTTCGACAAGAACTTTTTGGGGCTCTCGAAGAAATACTCATTAATATTAAACGACAAATGTGGTTCTTGCCTGATGGTGCCGCTGCTCATTACGCCATTTGGGTAGAGATTATTTAAATCAAGCATTTCCAAACCGTTGGATTGGACGAGTTAGTGACTTTCCTTGACCTTTTTGCTGTCCGGATTTTAATCCGTTAGACTTTTATTTTTGGGGTCATTTGAAAGGAATTGTTTACAACTCTGTAACACCTAATACGGGAAAAGAACTTTGGGATAGAATAAAAGACGTCGTACGACAATTAGATGAACGTATAATTCGTTTCCTATTCTTAATATTTTCATAAAACGTTTAAGGAAATATGCCGAAGAGAATGCATGGGGGACACAAAGAACATTTATTATAAATTAGTAGACTTTTTATTACTGCCACCTTTCAGTTTGCCTACTTATTATGTTATTTATCGTCGTAGAAGAAACAATACTGCCTAAGTACAATACTGTCAACTTTTCAGGAAACCAAAAAAACTACTTCGTAACTGTGAAAAACCCGATCCAATTTTAAGTTCTTGGCATCAAAATAACCAACAAATTATTACTTTAATTGCAGACTCTTCAAAAATACGGTCTTTTATATATTTTTTTGCTACTTAGGCGGTATTAGTTGGTTAAAAATGAATGCAACTGTGTTATAGAAAGTTTTTATTTATACTTGAAATGAAAGCAAATAAGGGGTAGGTGCAGTTAACAAAGTACACAGTTCAACAATAAACGCGCAAACTAATTGTAATAACATTAATCAAAGTCAAAGAAAAACAAAACCTTAATTCTTCATTGTAGATATTCAAAAAGAACAAAATAAATAAGTGGCAACTTTTTCGGGTAATTATAATGAAGTAGGTACTTGTACTCAAAAAAAAAAATTACAAATAACAAATCTTACATCTACTAAATTTGTTAATAACCGCACACTATTTAGACATTTTGTGGGAAACCTGAATTTTGATAAAAATGTCACTTAGGCGGTATTGTTTCATCAGCGACGTTATGTTATTTATTATGGATACGTAATTATTTTCAAAAAATATGGTGGATGTGTTAATAAATATTTTCTGTAATATCTTCATTAACGACCATAATTTCGACTTTTCATGGGTATACATTTTTTGTGTAGAATAAAATTATCTACCTATTTCTGATAGTTGCGTGTAAAAATGTAAATGTACAAGAAAGTTAAAAAAGTATTCACAAAGGGTTGTAGTAAAATTAATGCCCTGTATGATTTAATCTAATATAATACTTCATGATGAGAAACTAAGCAACAGCAAATTTTGCTCAAATCGATTATCTGGGTTCTGTCTGAGTTAAGGAGAAAACAAGAAATAAAATAACAAGCGTTAACACACTGTAACTTTTTTGCGATATTCCTTGTTTGAGGTAGTCTGGTTAAATCAATACCATTTGGGTTATCGATTATAGCATTGAAGTATGTAACATTCGTTAGGTAACACTCTCTGATACATATGTAGCAAGACAATTTCTTATAACTTTGTCCCATACCATTTATTTGTAAGCATAAAAGTACCTACACAAGATAAAGAGGGTAGAACTTTATGTGAGTAACCCTATACATTTTGATGTGTTTATGTACAGCCAATAAATTTTGTTATGGATTGGATTTTTCATGACAAATAACATTTAAAATAAATACCCATAAATAAAATAAAAATCTGACCTGAATTTATAGGTAATTCTAATACTTCATCATTACAAAAATCCCTATCTTTACAACAAGATGTAATACGTGCTGAATATTCGGGATTATCTACACCACTAACAGTGTCATTGCAATATTGTGCACTTCTATCGGCATTAACAACAATTTCGGGTAGTCTATCTTTGTGGTAACATCTATAAAAAAATCCCATCAATAAAACTACATAGTTAAAAGTGGAAAAAATAGACAAGCAAAAACATTAGTACTGTACACCTGAAATGTTAGTTACAAGTGTATAGGATGTATAAGAAACATGCTGAAAATATTTAAAGAAATAATAACCTTTAATAAAATGTAATTTACCACATTCGTAAGAAGGCTTCAGGTTGGAATTTCTTGCACGAAGCCAATAATATATACAATACGTATGTATATACAGGATGTTCAATAATGGTACAAATATTTTATGGAGGTGTTTAAAAACTAATTTTAGGGGGTACTTCCAATACATTTTCTCAATTTGAGTCCCCCCCCCCCCGAGAAAATATTCAAATCTCAAAATGGCCGTGAAAATTAGCTTTTATTTTATTTTTATTAAATGTTTAGTTCATATTTGATTACCTTTTCCTATTGATAAAAATTTTTGCAAAAAGCATGTGAAAAATTACGATCGTTTTTGGTAACTGTTATATTAATTATGTGTACCTAACCGGCAAGGAAACATAATTTATTTTTTTGTTCGTAAACCATTAAGTATACGAAAAAATGAAAAGATTAAATGAAATGTAGCAATAAATAGTTATTTTTCTTGTTATAATTGGCTAACGTAGAAAAAAGTTGTGAGAGAAATAAAACCAAGGTGTGCTAATTTCTTTCATTCAGACATAAACCAGAAAAAAAGACTACCAAAAAATACCATTCAACTAGTAGTTAACGTGTATCCAAATTCAAATTTCTAAGTTTAACCGTCTTCGTAAAACAAATATTTTCTCAAGGGGGGGCTCAAATCGAAAAAAAATATTGGAAGTATCCCCCTAAAATTACTTTCTAAACACCTACTTAAAATATTTGCACATCATTATGAAACACCCTGTATATATATACATACCTATATTATATAGGTACTGGGTATTCCACATAAAAGTCCTCAGCCTCGTATCTCGGCAACGGAAAGATATTTTTTGTTTTTGAAAGAAACTGATGATAGAGGTCATCGATGACTTCCAAGGAGTGCAACTTGATTTTTTTCAGATGAAATTGGAGATGAAGTCGAAATTTTTTGTTGACAGAAACTTTGTAAGGTTTATCCGATATTTTGTTCAATTCTACACAATTTTGGCAAATGACTATTTTTCAAAAACATAGTTAAATAGTTTCAGGGATATTATTGGGCTCTTCAGTCGGTGAGTTTCGAACCTTACACAATGGAACAATAATTATCCAAGTCAATTTAACATATTTTTTAAGGAATAGTGAAATAAAAATATGTAATTTTGTAAAATATGGCAAGGGTTTTTTAAATACCTTATTCTTTTTGTATGTATTGTATGTATTCATAATTATTTGTACGTTTGTCCTAAAATAAATCGGTGTGGCTCAATGTCCGCCGGCGGTATTAAACATACAAATATTCCGCTCTCTGGCGGAATTATTAGAATTTAAAATAGGTACTTAATTAAGTCATTTATTAATTGCAGATAATATACAGAATCAAAATATAGCTAACGTATAAAATATATATGTACATATATATGTAAAGAAAAAATACATTCTTGTGAATAACAAAAAACATTTCAATATTAATGAGTTAAATGAAACATTTTTATTACATTTATTTTGTATTTATCAAATTAGGCACAGTGATGAATTTTTCTGTTGATGTTTTCTTTTTTAAGTTTTAATGGCAATAAACGTAAACGTTTAAATACGGTGACAAATGATCTAGCCACAGCGGAAGTTTTACATGTGGAAATAATCCTCAAACTTCTATTAGAAATATTTCAGAGGCAACTTACATATTAATTACGTCATGTTATAGGATACAGTCTAGAAACAACACACATATTGTTCACCATTTACGACCCGAAGATCCCGAAAGACGGTTAGATTTTCTATCTCCTTTCTCAGTTAAGTATCTACCCTTAAAAAAATTTGTTGGACTGACGAAAGTCGATTTCATAATAATGGTCTCGTCAATTAGATACAATTGTCATTATTAGTCCGACAATAATCCGAGATGGGCAAAAGAAAGTGGCAATCAAAATAAATTTGGAATAAATGTGTGGTGTAGCATATTAGATGGATATCTCATTGGTCTTCTTGTCTTCGAGGGGCAATTAACTGGTGCACGATATTTAAATTTTTTGCAAAATGACATTTTAAATTTATTAGAAGATAATCCTGTGGCAATAAGACGCGATATTTGGTGGCAACAAGATGGTGCTGTCCATAATGCACAGGTAGTTAGAAAGTACTTGAACAGATCCTATCCTGGAAGATGGATTGGTACAAATGCGCCAATTAGATGGCCAGATCTAACTCTTCCTGATTTTTTTTCTATGGGGGGCATTAAAAGATATAGTGTATACTGAGCCAATAGAAGATATGGCGGACATAATAAATAAGATTTATGCTAGCTGTGCGACAATTACTTTCTTTTTGTAATCAGGAACCACGGTGTCGCTTTGAAATATGTATTAGCGAAAATGGAAATGTTTTTGAACACTTGTTGTAGGTAGTTCACGTTTCTTAATTTGCATATTTTATTTTACTATTCCTTAAAAAAACTATTAAATTGACTTGGATAATTATTGTTCCATTGTATAAGGTATAATAATTCGAAACTCCAAAATACCTTGAGTTGGGGTCTCACCGACTGAAGAGCCTGAAAATAGTAATTTGACAAAAATTGTTTAGAATTGAACCAAGAACAAAGTTTAGAACAAAGTATTGGATAAACCTTGTTACAAAGTTCGTACCAACTAAAAATTGCTTTCGACTTCAGCGCCATCTCCAATTTGCTCTGAAAAAAAATCAAAAAATCAAGTTGCATTCCTTGACGAAGCCATCGATAAGCTCTATCATCTGTTTTTTTTTTTCAAAATCAAAATATCCCTTTCCGTTGCCGAGATACGAGGCTGAGGAACACCCAGTATATATATCATTTGTTCACAGCCCTTTGGACTGATGCACTTGGATCTTCTTCCACACCTCCTTTAACACAGATTGACTGTGATTTGGCCTTGGCCTTCAAAAAATTTTCTTGGCACAAGGCTACTTTATTTACTATAAAATAGGTGTACATGAATATTTAATATTAATTGGATTTAATTTTGTTTTTAGAGAATCTTTAAAAATATTATTTTTATTAATTGCAATAAAAAAAATAGTAACTCCAATTATTCAAGTTTCAATTAAATTTAATTATTAATTCGTTTTAATTTTGTTTTTAGAGAATCTTTAAAAATAGTATTTTTATTGATTGCATATCATTTACATTGCATAGCGCCCGAGAAAATTTAATTTACATTTTCTACTGTAGTTATCAATGATGGACCACTGAGTATTTAGAGATATTCTGGTCTGATTAAACTCCACTTTTTTCTGCTAAATTTGTAACTTATTAAATGTTTTTACTTTTATCAGTTAGACTAACTTCTCCCAGTCTGAAGTTGATATCTTCTGAGATTCAGGCCTAATTTGTCTTTGCGGTACCTATTACATTCATACGGCTATATCTCAGTGGAATTTTTAGTAGCCCTTAAAGTTGAACCGTAAAAAAAATTCATTTATTTACAAATTTAACAAAAATGTAAAGTTTAATTAAACCAGATATCCCCAAATTCGTAACTGTAGGCTAATCATTAGAGATTTTGTTTGAAACAAAAATAATAGTAGCAAACGGACTGTGCCATCATATAAAAGACAGTCTGTATATATGCTTATATGTTTCCTACTCCAATAAGCATATATCTATTCTTATATGATGGCACAGTCCGTTTGTTACTAGTATTTTTGTCACAAAATCACTGATTTAATGTCATATGTCGTAGTCTCGTAGTACAAAATTAAAATTCATTTTTCTCACGAACCATGCAATAAATATACTTCTTTTAGAGTAAATAAAGTAACGTTTCAGAAAAACACCATTTGCATTTTTACAAAAATTTAACATAAGACTCTTAAAGGTGTTTCTAGTGGCCTCTAACTTTTATGTAAAAAAAAATAAGTTAAGTACATTTATAAGTAGTTAATCAAAAACTTCGCTATGTTCGGATTCATTGACTCTTTAAAACGTGGCAGAGTTATTATGAAAAGATGACAAGATCGATACCTTTTCAAGGAAAAAAGATTTCAATACTGACGTATATTTATAGACCAAGCAAATTAAATTTTTACTCGAAAAAAGTCCTATCCGCTACATTATTGTAAAATTGTCTAAAGGAACATAATACAAGACATCTCTCGTCTCGTGAGTCAAAAACTTTTATTAGCTAACTTTTCTATTTAAACAAATAAGTGAGGAAAACAGTTTTTTCACTTTGCAGGGAAAACCATCAATTTTAGCGAAAAGTGACTCACAGACAGCTTATAGGGAGTAAAATTATCTACAAAATGAGACTGGTTAAATTAAAATCGGTTAATAAACAAAAAAGTTATTGCAAAAAAACAAGAAAAGTGCCCATTTTTTCATTTGTTTATAACTATCGCATTTATTGTTAAAATTTTATAAAACCTATGACAAGTTGAGGGTTTTGTCATACTTTAAAAGTGTGCCAAAAGTGGGCGCTGTAGGTGCAATAGTTTTCGCACAATTCTATTTGTTTATAGCGGAGGCTCCAAAAGTTATGAACTTTAAGCCTCTGTACAGGCGTTAATTTTCAATCAAACATGATTCTGAAAGCGTCATTGTAATCTTAAAGACGCAATTAAGCGACCTATTAAAAAATATCACCGTTTTTTTGACATTAACATTCTCAAATTGTGCATTAAAAAACCGTGCGTTTTTCGCTTATAAACAATTTGAATAACATTGTTGCTATTTATGCTATCTCACCGAAAATAGATGCAATGGATAGCTGGCAAAAAAATACAGTTTTAAAATAAAAAAAGTACCCTCTACGACCAACAGGAGCCAAGATAAGATTTTTTTTTAAATCGTAGCGCAATCGTTTATAAATATTAAAACTTGAAT